CTCAACTGTTGATCAGGACCCACTACTAATCTTTCTTTCCTCCTCAGTTGGCCTTGAATGAAGGTGCACTTATTAACCTCACCCCCTTTTTCCTTTAAGGTCTGAATCATGGTTTTAAGCTCTTCATCCTTGTCCCAACTTTTCATTATCAACTCTAACAAGTCTGTCCTCATAGTGGAGAGTGTCATTGCAGCCATCTCTATCAGGGGTAGCCTTGAGAGGGGCTTGTTTTCTATACCCTTCTTGTACTCAATCTCAAAGTTAAACTGCATAAGCTTAGTGATCCATTTAAGTTGAGTACATGTGTGTAACTTTTGCTCTAACAGGAATTTAAGGGCTTTTTGGTCTGTCTTAACAATGAAAAGTCTCCCTGTTAGGTATTGTGACCATTTGCTCACAGCTAACACCAAAGCTAGCAGCTCCTTTTCATATACAGATAGAGATTGATGTCTTTTGGAGAGTCCTTTACTTAGGAATGCAATGGGGTTCCACTTTTGCATCAAGACAGCCCCAATACCCAAGTTGCAGGCATCAATCTCAACCACAAACATTAGTGTGAAATCTGGTAATGCTAGGACTGGTGCAGCAGTAAGTGCTTCCTTGAGTTGCCTGAAGGCCTCCCTGGCTTCCTCACTCCATGTAAAATGGTCCTTCTTGAGCATGTTGGTGAGGGGTTTGCTAATGGCACCATAATTCCTTATGAACCTCCTATAATACCCTGCAAGGCCCAGAAAACCCCTCAATTGTGTCACAGTTTGTGGTTCAGGCCATGTCCTCACTGCCTCCACTTTCCTGGGATCAGTAGCCACTCCTTGTGCTGAAATATAATGTCCTAAATACTCCACCCTTTTGGCAGCAAAAACACATTTACTCTTTTTAGCTAAAAGCTGATGTTGAACCAGTAATCTATAAGCTACCTCAAGGTGTTGTATGTGTTCCTCCAAACTCTTGCTGTAGACCAAAATGTCATAAAAAAACCAGAATAAATTTCCTAAGATGGTCTTGGAAGATGTGATTCATCAATCCCTGGAAACTTGAAGGTGCATTGGTCAAGCCAAATGGCATGACCAGGTACTCATAATGGCCAGAATGTGTTTTGAATGCTATTTTGGGAATGTCTGAAGTTGCCATCCTTATCTGATGATAGCCTGCCCTCAAGTCTATTTTGGAGTAAACCATTAGATCCTCCTAGTTCATCCAACAACTCCTCTATGATCGGAATTGGAAATTTGTCCTTCACAGTTGCCTTATTTAATGCCCTATAGTCCACACATAATCTCCAAGAGCCATCTTTTTTCCCACCAGTACCACAGGTGATGCATATGGACTGGATCTGTGTTGTATAACCCCTTGTTTCAGCATCTCCTTGATCATGGTTTCAATGACATCCTTCTGAAAGGGTGAGTACCTGTAGGGTCTTGAGTTAACTGGTGTAGTGCCTTCCAGTAGTGGAATGTGGTGGTCAAAAACTCCTCTAGAAGGTGGTTATTGAGTAGGCTCCCCAAAGACATCTGCATATTTATCAAGCACTGTTCTGATTTTAGGGGCCTGCTCTTCACCCTGATCTTCCTTCAACTCTTGAGTATTGGGTTCAGCTTCCCTTACCTTCACCATAAAGAGTTGTGATCCCCCTATCACCATTTTTTCTATGCATTTGGCCTTACAGCTTTAAATTTTGGTTGTATTCCCTTCAAGGTTAACATTTTCCCTTGGTACTCAAATTCCATCAACAACTTTTTAAAGTTAAACTTAATATCATTTAAGGGACATAACCATTGAATGCCAAGGACTACATCACTTTTCCCAATAGGAAACACTAGAAAATCATCCTGAAATACAACTCCTTGCATTAACCACTGTAATCCGTTGCATATGCTGTCTGTTGGCAATTCTCTTCCATCTACAACTTGCACCAATTGAGGCTTGATTTTGGTGATTTTGCATCCCAATCTTCTAGCTACATTCTCATCTATAAAGTTATGAGTTGATCCACAGTCTATGAATACCTCTAAAGGCTGTTGTTCAGTAAATCCCCTGAGCCTTAGTGTTTGGTATCCCATTGTTCCATTTAAAGCCTGTAGTGATATTGCACAATTCTCCATGGGTTCTGCTACCTCCCCTTCTTCTTCTTCTTCTTCTTCTTCTTCCACTATGAGTTCTTCCCCTTGTCCTTCTTCCTCTTCCAGCACTACACTCTCTTCTAGTTTTAATGAAAACAGCTGCCTTTTAGCTTGACATTTGTGTCCTGCTACATACTTTTCATCACAGAAGAAACATAAACCTTGTGCTCTTTTTTCCTCCATCTCTGCAGGAGTGAGTCTCCTCCTCTTGGTGTTATCAAATTTAGCTGTAGTAGGCCTTCTGGGAACAATGTTGCTGTTCTTTTGCAGATTTCCTGAGGCTTGGCCCTTATGCCAAGAGCTCCCTGCTGAAGCAACCTTGATGGCTTTACTTTGAGCTGCAAAACTAGCCTCATGAAGCCTTGCTAAGTAGTAAGCTTGGGGTAAGGTACAAGGGTTCCCTACCTTAACTGCATGACTTAACTCAGGTTTAAGGTTATGCAAAAAGATACTAATAGCATGTTCAACAGAGATATCCAACCTAGTCATCACCCCCACAAAAGCCTTTTGGTAGTCCTTAACAGAACCAGTGTGCTTGATGCTCATTATCTCAGTCATAGGGTCTGAATATTCAGCACCAAAACTGTCACATAAGGCCCAAATGTATTGCTCCCAACTAGGTAGGTAACTGCCCCCTGCTCCTCATATACCCCAGGTGCCATTGTAATGCATCTCCTTCAAAATGTAAGGACACCAACTTCATTCTCTACTGTATAGTGACTTCTTCATCAGCAAAGAACTGGTCTACCTTGTAGAGCCATGTTCTTAGGTCCTCCCCATCAAACTTAGGGAACTCCACCTTTGAGTACTTGGTGAATAGAATTCTTGGTAAGGGAACATTATGGTTGTTATGGGCTTGTTGTTGAGTAGGATTGGCAGGTGTGTTCTGATAGAGTGTAGGTGAATTCTTATAAGGTGGTGGTGTTGGAGGTTGAGGCACGTAGGGAAGTTGATGATATAGTGATGGAGGTATATGAGTGTTTGGGAAATTATATGCTGGAGGGTAATGCATCGGGTGATTGGGCAGGTGTGGGGGTACTAAATGTTTATTAATATGTCCTGGTGGTTGGGTTTGATATGGGTATGCAGATCTAGTTAGATCAGGTGGACCAATATATGGCTGGGGTAATATCTGGTTAACTCTTAGGTGTGATGAATAGTTTGGTTGAATGCTTTGGGCATGAAATGGCTGTGATGTCTGATTTGGTAAAGAAGGTCTATGGGGTATGGAGCCTAAAGAAGGGTGACTAGGTCCAGCTAGTTGCAGATGTGTAGAGGTCTGTATGGGCTCACTAACAGGAGGAAGAGTAGAAGACATTACCACTCCACTGGTTCCTAAAGAAGCATTAATCCCAGTAATTGAAGGAGTAGCTAACTCACCAAATTCAAAGGGTTTGTCGTTTGGAGAGTACAGCTCCTCTCCATTGTTAGTATTCTTGTCTCGCTCAGGTCTCTTGCCTCCATGAATGACTTCATTGAGTACTTCTCTGATTTCATTCAAAGCCTCTTCTTGGCCTCTGCAAACCTGCTCATGGTTAGCTTCGAGTTGGTTCTGCCTGGCTACAAAGCTGGACATTTCTGTAGACATTTTTTGCATCATGTTCATGATCTCGTTCATCTCAGTCGACATCCTTCCACAGAGCCGGGAAGATGCTCTGATACCACTGTTGCGGCAGTTAGATTTTAGGGCAAAATTCTACAGCTAATGAAGTAAAGAAGAAGAAAACTAAAAAGGGAATATTTCATTCATAATTAGCTACTGCAATTACAGGGTATTTATGCCTCCACTACTAGCTAGAGGACAAAACTCTATAACTAACTCTGCAGGACTCTAATTGCTAACTTATAATACTCGGCCGGGTAAATGTGTAATTATCAGAACTTACATTAAAACTATTAGTGGACTAAAGTGTTCTAAATACAAACTTCTACTGACCCGCTGTACTAACTAACTTAACGATCAGGTACAACTCCGCAAGCTTCGCGTACAACCTTGTTCTGCTGCCAAATTAAATCTCGTATCAGAAACAAGACCTCAGATTTTGTTATTGACTGGAGAATGCTCAACTCTCAAGTCTGCTTTGAACAACAGTTCTTGGAAAAGTGAAGTCTTAATTTGACTTAGTTGTAAAGCAACAATATAGTTGACTTAGAGAAAGGAATAACTTGAGCATTTCAAGTACTACTATCATAATTTGGAGTACAAAGAAAAGTTCAACTTTGATTTTCAAGGCTAACTCGGCACTCAATCTTAGACTCAGTTTACCAGGGTACCCTTCTTTCTGAATTTGCATATCAGTAAGATCTCTGATAGCTAAGTGCGTAGAGTTCAAGTTTTATTCACTCAAGGTGTAAGATATATTTATACAATCAAGTCCTTCTAAAGTAATTATAGATAACCTATGATAACCTAATAACAATGGTAACTAATCTGCTATAAGAGGTCAAACTACAAACTGTCAATGTATTAAATCCAAGTGAAAATTGACAGAGAATATGAAATGCTACTACTTTTGCAGTCTTCTCAAAACAAGTGAGAAGGGCATCTTCATGAGTTCATGTATGAGTTGCTGCCAAATTAGAATTAGGTTTATTTCCAAATAAAATAAGTAATTGTTAGGTTATTTTCTTCCACATAAGCTGAAATAAGTGATTGACCTCCAAAAGATTAAACTACTGAGTAACTTCTAGAACAAACTTTAGATTATCTAACAGGGGAGGATGGCAATTTGGGCTAAACCTGTTTAAAGTAATTTCATGCGGCTCCATCTAAGATGAATGCATTTATTCAGTAGTATTCAAGCATTCTAAACATATTTCCTGCCAAAAGCCTATTTACTTTAACACAATTGGGATTACCATTTTGCAGTTGAACACAGATTTGACATCAAAAGAAAGAAGAGCAATGTAGGCTCTCTTAACTGGCCAATCCAAATTCAACGAGAATTTGAATAACACTAACAGCATTGCATGTGGATATTCATCCTTGCCACCTTCAATCTGCAAGTAATAGCTACAGTAGAATCTCATTAATAAAATCAAGTTGTGTCTCACTTTACAGCTAAGGTGGGTTAAATTCTACATACTGCACTAAATTGATGTAGCAGTAGACACCACCTGCAGTTCGTAAGACCTCTGGAAATCACAATACAGGATTACGGGTACCTCTACTAATATAGAAGAGAACTCCCTTCCTTAACAAGCACAAAAATCCCTCCATCTCCTTTGGAGATCCGCAGATCCTTATCAAGGTATGTCGTGAGAAGCCAAGATTTTGTCCTTTCACCTGGAATTGGGATCTTGAGAGGAGGCTGACCAGAAATAGTACGTGCTATGCCTGCCACAGCATTTTCCAGAGGACCTAGAGATTGCTGCACTGGAGAGAGACTTATCTTTTGCCCAAACACATCCACATTTTCTGGCAGCTCAATGTTTGATTTTATCTCTGGAGGTTTAAAATTCCCTTCCTTAAATTCAACCTGCAAAAGAAAGCAGTTGGCAGCCAAATGCGGAAGGAAAATTTAAAAATCTCTCAAAAATACTCTAAGGAAGGTTATCAAGAAAAGAATCATGACCCTCTACAATTTCCTGATATCTTGCACAATTAATTCATAAATTCCAACTTAACCGTTGGCTGAACTACTAACTCGTTTTCTTTCTCTTTGTCCATGATATTGCTGTTAGTAGCTTTCTAAAGAAATTAGATTATAGTCGAGATGGTACCTGTATTCTAGAGGGGCTTCGAACTTCAAAAGTGGCAGTTGCACTAAAAGACAAGGTGGCTACAGGGCTTGATAATGTAGTCGAGTTCTCTATAGTAAAGTTGCTTGTATCTATGCCTTGGCTAATCTTTTCTACCTTCACCAGAGGAATGCTGCCCGCAGCAAGAAGAGGTAACAACTCAGAAAATGCTGTGAACCTGACACGTTGAGGAAGAAAAATGAGATTTATTTGCTGCAAAATACATCACTTAGCATTTACTTCAAATCAGTTTCTGTGTGAAATTTCATAACAAAAGATTACATTGTTCAGTGTTAACATTAAGGTAAGATTGCATTTATCTCATTGAAATCAATATCAGCATCCAGTTAACACTTGGGAACTATTTACAAAAATACACTTTTCAGGTTAACAAAGATAAGTTAACTCTTGTCTGAATAATTGCACGAGGTGAAATTAGAGCACCACTCAAATAGTTGCACTGTTTTTGTTAGGGATTAGCAACTCATGCTAGCATAAAAAGGCACAAAGCTACAGAAGTTACAGAATGGAAGTTTCATGATAGAACATAATGTGGGAATCTGGAACGCCATTATATATAATTATCTCTTGTCAGGATCTTTAAAGGATATTCATAATGAGTGTAGTATTTGCTGATAGCGATTTTCCCTATGGTTAAACAGTGAAAGGAATGATGCAACACTCGGAAATCCATCCAATGTCAATAAGGCCTACTTAGAAAAAAGCAAAAATTCCTTCAGGTGAGCTCAAATATTTACAGAAGACTGCCATAGAAGCTAGAAGCAGAGGGCTGTTTGCAGACAATTCGAAATGTGAATATGCCTAATGTCGATCATAATCTCTTGTCAGAATCTTGTACAAAAATTCATTTTGAGGGTTGTAATCGAGAAGACATCAATCCAATGTCAACAAGGCCTACGTAGAAAAAAAGCAAAAACTCCTACAGGTGAGCTCAAATATTTACAGAAAATTGTCATAGAAGCTAGAAGCAGAGGGCTGTTTGCAGACAATTCGAAATGTGAATATGCCTAATGTCGATCATAATCTCTTCCCAGAATCCTGTACAAAAATTCATTTTGAGGGTTGTAATCGAGAAGACTTTGTCCCAGTGTTTTTGAGAGCGCGAAGCGCAAAAAAGCGACAGGGGCTCGCCTCGCTTCAAAAGCGAAGCACGCTTCACTGAAGTGAAGCGCAATTGTGAAAATACATATAATATATATAATAATTAATTTACAAACTGAAATACACATTAAAAAAATCAAATAAACTAAGTCTTATATATATATATATATATATATATATATACACACACACACACACACACACACACACACAAACATATAAAATTATCAAATAAACTGAAAATATAACATAAATAAAATAATTAATTTTTTAAACTGAAATGCACATTAAAAAATCAAATAAACTGAAAGATATAACACATATATTTAATAAGTAATTTTATAAACTAAAATACATATTAAAATTAAGAAGAATAAAAGGGAGGAAAAAAAGAAAACCAGCGCCTGCCCTAGCTGTGCAGACGCTGGAGGAGAAAAAGTGAAAAAGAGAAGAGAAGAAGAAAAAGGAAGAAAGAAGGAAAAAGAAAGAAATAAAGAGCAGAATCTGGAAGGGAACAAGAAGAAGAAAGAAAGAAGAAAGAAAAAAATGAGAAGAAAGGAGAAGAAACTTACCTGGAAACCCTAGTTTTGTCGATGAAGAAGAGAGAAGAGGTCTCTGTTTTTTCAAGCAATTACAGAAGCGAGGTTAGGGGTCTGTTTTGTATAATTTACAAACAGACCCAATCTTTTTTTTAAAAAAAAGGGCCCAGCTGCGAATTTTTAAAAGAAGCGATCGCTTCACTCGCTTCGTCGCCTTGTCGCTTTTTTCACTGAAGCGTGCGCTTCACACGATCGCATCACCTCAAGCAGTAAAAAGCGATACCATGTCGCTTCGCATCGCTTTGCGCTTAAAGCGACGAAGCGATCGCTTTTCCAAACACTGCTTTGTCCATGGTTTGACAATAAAAGTAATGTTGTGAGGTTTGAAAATCCATCCAAGATCAGCAAAGCCTACTTGGATAAAAGTAGTTCCTGGAGGTGAGCTCCAAAATTTTACAGAAGATAGTGGTGGCAGTTAGAATACAAGGCTGTTCGTGGGACGATTTGAAATATGAAGATGCCCGATAGACAGGCCTCTTGATAAGAGCTTGGAGAAATCTTCAAAAAGATTTATGAATTAATAAACTTTGACTGATGCATAACAATTATCTGTTATAAAAAAAACCATCAATATTTATACCCCAATGGATTTTTCTATTATACTATGTTATAGAAATAAAGTTTTAGAAAGCACATCTTCAACCTTTAGGTTTACTTCTGTGATACGTGAACTAAGACAGTAAATGTCAGTGGATCTTAAGATCACAGATCTAATCCTATAAATTGTTCTTCAAAACTATTAAGAAAAAGTCTCACTATTTCCAAGCATTTTAACTTTCAATACTTAGTACAACTCTATTTTCCAAGTAGAAGGAAATAATAACAAAAAACAAATAGCAATAACCACCACCACTACATAATAGTTATAATAACAATGAAAACAAACAACTATACAGCGGAGATTCCCCTTTTATAGGAAGTTAGTCAAAGCACTTCCACCCTTGATAGTTTAAAGGAATTTGATTAAAACGAGAAGAAAATTTGAATTTTTTCCTTTTAGGAGGGTGGAGGGTATGAAGGGGCCGACTGCCATTTCCTACCAAAAACTTTGCTTCAAGGAAGCTCCAAAAAATGCAGTCATGACCATCTATAAAGTAACAGTATGAGCAAGCAAATGAGATATTATGCGACAAATGCCCTAATGGTTAAGTCCTATCCCTTATGTGGAGCTAATTACTCAGTACAATATGCTTTATGAGAAAGCAAAGTTTATTTTTTGGAGTGCAACTCTTTTTTTTTAAAATGGACCTCACAAGGTGCTTATTTAAAGGCATATTTCAAGTTCCCTCTTAAAAACTATGTTGATGCACCTATCCAGATCGTATACTGAACTCTCACCAGGGAATTCTAGCTTTCTTCTAGGCTGCTTTAGGTGCAAATGCCTACATTGTAGGTTAACTTCTGCCATGCACCTGGAATTAAGATACCGCCTAGGAGAGCAGCTTGCTCTGTGGTGTCCATGCTCAACATAAGCATGCCACTACCGATTTGATCAACGTCTTCTCCCTTAGAGATCACATTGACTACCGAAAACTACGAATTACCCTTTAATAAAAGCACTCAAGAAACGAATATCAATTTGTTAGAAAATGTAATTTGCACTGTCACTTAAACCACTTTTTGCTGACAAAAAAATATCAAAACTCAGCTACTTTCATACTAAAAACGTAACAAATGGCGAAATCAAAGTAAAAAATGAACAAACAAGCAGTGAAGCAAAAAACTCACACTAAAATCCAATTCCCATCAAGCAACTCACTCTCAGTTGGTGCGGGGGTAGGATTTGATGCCTCCAGCTGAGAAACGAGCTCCAAAGCCTCGGCCCGCATCTCGGATGAAGCCCGAAGCCCGAAATCCGTCCCATAAACTGTATCCACAAAGCACCTTTTCAGTTCTAGAAGCTTCCCGTCTTCTCCACCACTCACATCTACAGCTGGCCTGCCGTTATTACCCCACTCATCCTCATTTATCGGAGGGTCCGAGTCCGTTAACTTCGTAACCGGCTCGGGTTCCGGCTCCGACTTCTCTCCCCATTCATCAACGAAGCCGGTCGTTTTATCGTCGGATTTATCATTGTCCGGTTCAATACCGGTCGCTTTTTCCGGGTCACTGGAGGATTGAACCGAGAAATTGGGGAATTTTCGAAGCTTAGGCTTTGAGAATGAAGAAGGAAGAAAAGTGTGAGCTTTAAGGGTGGTTTTGGGGGTTTTTATGGTGAAAATTAGAGGAGTGTAAAGAGTGGACATTATCTGATTGATTTTTGAAAATCAGCGTTCTCCGGTGGTTGTGGACGGTGCGATGATGGCGGAAGTGGCGGGTGTCGATGGTGGCTTTGAGACCGTTGGTTTTTTAGAGATGGTGGAGGTGGATTTGGCACGTTTTACTTTAGTTTGAATTAAATTTTGCTTCACGAAATTTTTGTAATTTTTTGTTGTCCGAAGGGACACACGATATGTTGAAATCTTTTCTATTACTCTTTCCGTCCATTTTAATTGAGTTTTTTTTTTTTTTTTATCTTTATTGTTTATAATATTTGATTTTTTCAAATATTAAGAAGAATTTTTTTTTTAAAAGTTATCTTTTGAGTAAAGAGCATATGAGTAATTGTTATATTTTCAAAACAAATTAAGAATAATATGATCAATTTTATTATTAATTAATACTAAAAGGTAAATTCCTTAATATGTATAGAAAAAACCAAAAATTTAATTAAAGTGAATCCGAGGGAGTAATTATTTTGACATTTGAGTCTTTGGATGGTTGCTAGAATTGATATTTCGACACATGGTTTTGAATTGGTCAATAATATAAAATTGAACTTTTTTTCTTTTCGTTAATGTTTAATTGTACTTCGCTTCGAGTATGGTTCTATTTTGAGTAGGGGTGCTTATCAGGCGAATCAGATGGATAATTACGCTTAACGGTTCAACTTGTTGGTTATCGTATTATAAATGTAGTAATCCGCTGGCCATCCAATAAGACAACGAACAGATTGGTATCGGATTAGCGATTATCAGACGGTTTATCGGCTAAAACAAATAGAATTTTCTTGAACAATCCTAGTCTTGTAAATACCAAACGGCCAACCTGATAAAGTAACTCGACTATAAGTTCCATCCCCTATTTAGTTTACCAGGCTTGTTAACATTTGTTGCTACATGATAGAATCTGTTAACACTCTATAGTTTGCCCTGCAGTTTATAAGTATTTCTTTTGGTTGCATAGCTATCCTGTTTCATATCAAAAACGGATAAGGGCCATATTTATCCTTCTACTATCGAAAATAAGTTATATCTACCCTCCGTTTCAGTTTCTTATTAAAAATAACCTTAGTGTTGTACTTTGGGATTATAATTAACCCCCAAACGTTAAATCTCTCTTCAAAACTTAAAAATCCCACGTGGCACGATCTGATTGAATGTAAAAGATCCACTCTACCGTTCATTTTAAACAACCTGCCCCGCCCGAAGCCCCTCACCTTTCTTTGTGATTTGTTTACAGCTTCTGAAATGGGATGATGAGGAAAGGTTATTTGTTGCTGGTATAACGATTTGTTTACACATTCACTGATTTATTTACAGCTTATGAAAGGTCATGGTGCTCGTTTTGCCAAGTATCTTGCTGCCGAGCTCTTAGATTTGAGAGTGGAAATTGAGAGGGAAAGGCAAATGCTGAAAGGCAATGAAGAGCAGTATTTCAGTAGAAAAGATTTTAAGCAAATAGTCTTCTAAATTTTTGGCAAAGATGAATCAGCCCGTAGGCATGTATTGAATATCCAAAGTTCAGTCTCATCTGAACGAAAGAAGATATTGAGAATGAAAAGAGATTCAAGATTATTTTATTCTCAGGTGTTGTAATGAAAATGCAATTCAATTTATCTAAAAGACCAACTCTTATGTTATTATGAAAGCAGGCCATTCTTTTATACAGTACATATTTTTTTCTTAACCTTTTAACACGAACTTACGAATTTGTTTACCCATAACTTTCTATTGTACATTTGCAATAGATTAAAGAAAAACCAGAGATGAAAAATAGATGATAAGAATAGAAGTGAGACTGGGAATAAGCGTTGATTTGATGCTCTCGTGCTGGTACGATTTTATTATGTTGACCCATATCTGCACAGCTTCGTCAAAGCGATAGAGAAAGAGGATTCGCTGGAGAGCCACCTGAATATTGGGAGTTCAATGTGAGAACAAGTGAGAGAAGAGGATGTTCATATTTTTCAGATAATATTTTCCCGCTCCAAGATGTGAATATGGCTTTGGGGGGGGGGGGGGGGGGGGAGTCGAGTTATTTGGTTTGAGTCGGGTTGTTCAAAATGAAAAGGTGGGCTGGGTCTAACAATCAGATCATACCACGTGTATTTTAAAGTTTTGAAAAAGGATTAAACGTGTGGGGGTAATTTACTCCGAAAGTATAACGGTAAGGTTATTTTTAACGAGAAACTTAAACGGATGGTAGATATAACTTATTTCGATAATATAGGGATAAATATGACCCTTTTCCGTATCAAAAAAGAGAAAGGAAAACTGGTCAAACTGATTGAAAACTTATATACAATCTGAATCTCCTACACTTACAAAACTTGACTATAAACTTGAAGGCATTTTTAGATTTATTTTTAGATAATACTCATGTAACTTCTGTTGATCCCATATAAAAGTGTAAATAAAAAAATCTTAACGGTTTATCCGATAAGAAAATTGAGAAATCCGTCTCCAAACCGTTAAGCCATTAATAATAAAATCTCAATCCGTTTATCAACCATTATCCCGATAGCCCGATACCAATAAGTTGATAAACCATCAGTTCGGTTCGACTAACAGTTACGGTTCGATTTTGAACACCCTAATTTTGAGATGAAAACAAAACAGACAGTGTAATATATTTTATATAATTCTAATTTACAGCTGCTTCGATTTAAAATATCTCCTATTTTGTATTTTCCTACTTATCTGAAATTTCGACGAGCAGATTGTTGATAATATATGTGAACTATGACAAATTTTAGTGCATGTACACGTATTTCACTGCAGTACGCATGCATACTCACTCATCTTGTCTCTAAAAAAAAAGAATATATGTTGTTACAATTAACAAGGTGAAAGATGGGTGAAGGAAAGCGGCCAAATTGGTGTTGTCGGTTGATTTGGAGCGTAGAAACTGACCGAGAAGGAATAGTAGTTGTCGCCTGGGCTTTTTCTTTTCATGGATCATCTTCCACGGTGGATTCAAAGAGGACCCCGTATTTTAGCTATGTGTTGTATTTCAATTACTGCATTTTATTTGTGTTTGAGTTTAAATGACGATGTTTTATACTTATTACCTGCATTATGCTTTGTAGGAAGTGATTCCACGTTAGGAGGCAATTTTAGAGCTAAAATGAATGATTTGGAGTTTTGAAGTCTGCCCATGAAAGTGAACTGGAATCACGTTTGGGGGTCGAGAACCAAGTCTAGATGTTAAAAATTGAGATAAATTCCTACTTTGAGAAAATTGCACTATTGCACCTGTTTCGTTAACAGCCCTTGCTTCTCCTATATTGATATTTTTTGAGTTGCTCAACTCTGGTTTTCCGTGATCAAATGATAATTACTTTAACTTTTGTAGTTAATTGTAGTTGATAATCACTCCAATCAAAGTGTTAATCATCCTGGATAGTAGTTATCTAGAAAATCATTTGAACATTATTTACATCTATTGTGGAGACAATAATTAAATTTTGGCTAGCGTGCATTAATTTACGTGTTGTGTTTTGCGCTTGTCAATTTTCGGCGCCGTTGCGGAGTATTGACAATCACTAGAGTTCAAAATACTTTTTGGTGCTAATTCAGAAACCAATTTTTTATACATATTAACGTTTTCTCACTTGTTTGCAGGTAACAAGTTTAATTTCTCTGGTGTATGACTCGATCCTCTTCAAAGTCATACGACTCGAAGTTGGAGAAACGTCTGCGACACCTGAGAAAAGGGAGAGAACTCACCGAAAATTTCTTGGGGCAGTCTTCGACCCAAGAAAACATGACTAAAAATGGTGATGATATAGTTGATTTGGCTACAAAAAAAGTAGCCCAACAACAAGAAGCAGGAGCACGGGCAGCTTTAGAAGCAGCTCTGAGAGCTGATGAAGATTCATTTGCGAATTTGGGACCCAGTGCTAGTAGATTATAGCGAGACTATGCCAGACCAGTCTACAATCAGGGACTGTCGAGTGTCAAACTTCCACCCATCGCAACAAATAATTTTGAACTGAAGCAAGACTTGCTTCAAACCATCCAAAATAATTGTGTCTTCAGAGGCAATGTGAATGAAGATTCAAACACTCACCTGAAGAATTTTGAGAAAATCATGAATACCTTCCAGTACAATGGAGTGTCAGTAGATGCAGTTTATTTAAGGGAATTCTCCTTTTTACTGAAGGATGATGCAAAGCATTGGCTGTGAAGCTTACCAACAGGGTCTATCGGAATATGGGAAGACATGACGAAAAAGTTTCTCTACAAATACATCTCATCTACAAAATCGGGGAAATTCAAGAGGGATATCCATAACTTCTGTCAGAAGGACAGTAAAATGTTCTTCGAAGCATGGAAAAGATTCAAGGAGATAGTGAGAAGATGTCAATATAATGGGATTGACTTATGGATGCAACTCCAAGATTTTTGGGATGGACCGAATCCTTCGTCACGAAGAACTCTGATTAATGTAGTAGGAGGTCCACTAATGAAGAAAAAAACTTAGGAGATTGTATTGATTCTTGATGAATTGTCGGAAGATGCTAACAAATGACTAGTAACGACAGAAAAAAATCAGTTGGGATACACCAAGTGGATTCTAACACATATGTGCAAGCTCAACTAGACTCCATAGAAAAAGAAATCAGGAAGTTGACCATAGCTAAGGTATAGAGTGAGCCATAAGCAACATGTGTTTTTTGTGGAGTGGAACACCCGACTCATGAATGCCAAGCTTCAGCTGAGGAAGTGAATGTTATGGGGAACTATAATAGAGGAAACTCCTAGGTGGAAACAACTTCAATATTATGGGTCAAATACATCCAGGTTTCTCATGGAGCTCACCTAATGGGAGTCTAAACTCGTGGCGATAGAATAATCCTAGACCTCAGGTTCAAGGACCTCTAGGTTTTTAGAATCAGCTGAAGCAATAATACCAGCCACAATAGTCAAATCAGTCCAGTATGGAAGATCTCATGAAGACTTTCATCAACAAGTTTGACGAGAGGTTTGATACTCACAATCCTACTATTCAAAATTTGGAGAGACAAGTGAAGAAAACTACTAACTTGTTATCTAAGCGGGATCTTGGGACTCTACCATCTGACATTGAGAAGAACCTGAAAGAAACAAATAAACCTACGTGTCTGAGAAGTAGAAAAATATTGACAGATCCGATTGTGAAAACTAGATTAGAGTTGGTGAGTAAG